ACAACAGAGTTCATTTTTAAAGACATAGAATCACCAGGTTCAATTTCTTCACAATGAAGAGGAACCATTAACCCAGCATTAAAAGACAATTTTTTATCTTTATTACGTGGAAAAGTAGTTCTAGGAACTTTAACTATATCGTTTTTAGTAAAATAAGAGTCTTTATTTATATTATTTCTTAGTTTCATCTTTTACCTCTTTATTTTCATTAACATTAGAATTTTTTTTATCTAAATTAGATTTAAGAGAAGCAAGTTCTAAATCTCTTTGTTTTTTTATAGCAGCATTTAATTGAGCATACAAATCATCCAAAGTCTTACCTTGAGCAGCTAAACGATTTTGAAGCTCTTTAATTTGTTCTACATTTTGGACATTAGAATAATCAATAGGAGCAGCATTAGGATCGAAAGCAACAGACAATCCACTAATATCACCATTAGGAGCTAAACTTAAAATTCTTTCTAAATTATTTTGATCTTTAAACATTTGAATATCATTAAATAAATTATGATAAACAACATTACCGTCTTTATCAGTCTTAAACTTTAAAAGCATAGTCGCTTTATCTAGTTCAAGTTGAGGAACAGCTTTACCATTACACAATTACATTTAAATTCATTAAAGTCATTACTTTTTCAAGTTCTTATCTTCATTAGCAAAAAAACCTCTAAAGTCTTCAATTAAATTAATTTTTAAAGAATCCATATCCAATTCATACAAACTAGAATCTTTTCAAAATTCTCAGAATAAAAATCATTTTTTTCTCTCATAGATCTTAATTCCAAAGCTAAATTTCTTAAAGCAACATCTTTATTTGTAGAAAACATAGGATGAAATTCACCATTTGATTTTTTATCTTTTAGAAAATATAATTTCATAACTATAACCTAATTCCTCCACGTCTATTAACTCTTCCAGTATTTATAGTTTTAGTTTTATTAGCAGTTTTAATAAAATAACCACGTTTTAAAGCTCTATTCTTTCTTCGAGTCATTTGTTTCACCTCATTTAGATTTTAATTTATTAACTTTATTATTTAATTTTTCAATTTTTTTCATATCTTTAGTAATTTTAGAATTACGTGTCTTAGGACTATCTTTATCATGTTTATTCTTAAAATAAATAATAGCATAAACTATATTAGCAATACCATAAAGAATAATACACATAACAGATAATCAATTTTGTTTAAATCAATCCATTACTTACCTCATAATTCTTTCAATTTTAAAATATACGATAAAAGATACCTATAGGCTACAGAATTAGTTTCTTCCAATAGACTAAAATCAATTAACTCAAAATTTCTTACAATAGAGTAAGAAAGCATATAAGCAATTTTATGAATCAATTTATATTTATCTCTCATCAAACATATTATATATATTTATATATATATTACACAAGAATTATAACTATAGCACAGAATAATAGTCTAGTAAAAAACAAATTCTTTTCTAAGTTAATTTAAATTAACTCTTTATTTCTTTGTTTCTTTCTTTCTTTCTCATTAAAACTTTATTAGATTTCTTTTCTTAAAAAGAAAAAAAACTACTAATTCCAAGCAGGTAGAATTAGTAGAAAGACACACGATAAGAGATAAAAACTAAACTCTTACCGCACCTAAATTATATCACGACTTTTACAAAAATCATAATAAGCATCATTTAACAATTTACGATCTTTAGCATTAAGTTTCTGAGCTTCAGATAAAACACCCAATCTAATACGATTAATATAATCAATCTTATTTAAATTATTTTTATATCTAACCTCAACAGTCTGAAGATGATCATTAATACTTTTTAATCTATGAACCATCCAAGAATTATAAACTTTATCACCAACAATAGAACGATAAATCTTAGTAAAATATCTAGGAATAGCTACTTTAACAATTCGATCATTTTTAGGTAAAGTTATATAACCATTAGAAATAATATCTTCCATATGATCTAAAAAATACTGTTTTCCAAATCCATTAGACATACGAATAAAACAATCACTAACATTTTTCTTAATAGCATATCTAGCAACATAATTACAAGATTGTAAAGATACTAAACCAATACTAATTAATCCATTACCTCATAACTTTTCTAAAGTTTTAGAGGTATATAAATTATCACGTAAATAACATAAATCATCAATCGGTAAATTATAAACAATCATGTGATAATGTGGCCTTAATGTTCTAGATCCATATTCACCACAATAAAAAAACTTAATTTTATAATCAGAATAACGTTTTCTAAAACGTTTAATAAACTTAGAAACATCATTAGGTTTCAAAACACCAGGACAATGTTTATCATCATAAGTTAAAGTTATAAATCAAGATCTATTTTGTTCTTCAATAGGTCTAGAATAAAATTCACACATACATCTAGCAGCTCACTCTTTAGCATGAGAAATACGACACTCTTCACACTTACCACATGGAACTGAAATATATTCAGCAAAATTAGGAAAAATAGACAAATTAGTCTGCGGAACTTTAATTTGAACAGGTTTTAAACACATAACACCCCCAAAAAACGTTTTTTTGGTGTCTTTTGGCGTATTATAAATCAAGTACGACTAATACGCCAAAAGTCAGCGCAAAGTCGCTTAAAATTGAAATAAACGATATTTAAACAAGCATTTCAATAATCTTTAAAATACCAGCAATACCAGCAATCGTTTTAACAGCAGATCCAGAATTACCAGACATATAACTAGTTCTACCACTAGATTCAGAAGCATTTGTTCCACTATGAGCAGCAGAACCGCTAGGAGTAGAAGCACCACTAGAAACAGAAGAAACTGCTAAAAGAGGATTAACACCAGCAGCCTCTAAATCAGCCATACGTCTTTGAATAGCAGTATTAGACATCATCAATTCTCAATCTCTTTGTTTTTGAGATTCAGAAGCATTATATTCTTGATTAGCTAAAAATTGATATAAAGCCATTTCACGATCATATTTATCTAAATATCTTTGATATTGTTCTCTTTCTAAATTGGACATAGATTTAAAATATCCACCAGATATAAAATTTAATAACCAATTATCACCTAAAGCAGCATATACATCACCCTCTTGACCACGTTCATAATCGAAAGTAGGTGATGTAGCACTAGTAGGAATAGAAGAACCAGTATCACTAACACCAGACTTTAAATTTTCAGCATTAGCAGGAATTTCATTAATATCAGCCATACTAAATAATTAACTTACCACTATGATCAACTAAACCAGGAACAGAGTGAAGTGGTATAGGTCTAGTAGCTTTATTTTCAAAATAAATATCAGCTATAAAATGATGTTGATTAGGAAGAGCTAAAGAACGTTCCAACATAGAATTATCTTCTCTAATTCAATCAGGAGATAAAGTAGGAGCAGAATCATAAGACTCAGCATAAGATCAAACAGATAAAGAATCTTTAATACCAGCTCTCATATATCCACAAGCTTCGTTAGTAGTATATCTTAATTCATAACCATACTCGTTATATCCAAAAACATCTCTATCAGAACTAGAACCATTTCAAGATATTTCTTGATTTAATACAGGTTGCTCACCTAAATTAGCAAAAACAGGATTATAGAATTGTAATCTAGATAACTTAGATCACATTTTATCAATCTTTTGACTAAATGTATGAGATTTAACACGACAACCACCAACAATAAATAAATATCCATGTTCAGTAAAAGATTTTGTAAATAAATGTCTAGCGTTAGCAGTTAAAGAATAAGCAGAGACATTAGATTGAGCAGAATCTTGAGTAGTTTGTGATGTTTGAACAGTTTGATTAACAGATAAATTAAAAGATAACTTACCTAAGAATTCAGAACGTTGTAATCTAGCATCACCATTAACAACACCTCACGAACCTAAAAGATATTCATTATATCTAGAACCATATCTAGCATCTTGTTCTTTAAGTTTTTGAGTTTGAAATAAAACACGAAGATCATTAACAGATATACCAGATACACCAGATAAATCAGCATAAATAGGAGCAGGATGATCTTCTTTACCGTCATTATACCAATGATCTCCAAAAGTATAATATCTATTAATTTGATTACCCTCTCCAACAGTAGTTCCAGCATCTCACTCATGTGCTAAATAAGAACTAGTTGCACCATTAACATGTGTAAATGAACCAACAGAAGTATCACGAGGAAGAAAAATAGCCTCTTTAACTGAATTAGTAGCACCAGAAAACATAGCTTCTTTAGTATATGGAACAGCATCCTCGTTTTTACCACCAACACGATTAATAAAAACAGATTTATCAGGTAAATCACCATAAATCTTAGCTTGACCACCTAAATTCAAAGTCACAGGCTCACCACGTTGAGGAGCAGGAAGACAACTGGAAAATAAATCATGACGCTTATTTAATGGAGGTAAAGCACCACCAAGAACTAAATCAGTTTCATAATTACCTAACTTATTAACATTAACAACATCTAAATGACCAGGATGTTCAACAAAAATAGGACTTTGTAAATTTTCATCTCTAAATCACTCATCTCAAATCTTAGCTAAACCTCTAAACGGTAATAAACTAATAGCAGTATCAGACAATTCAGCAGAATCACCTAATCCAGCAGGTAATCCAAGATAATCACCAGCAGAACCAATAGCAAAACCAGATTTTAAAAGTCTCATTTGAGACAAAGTAAGCTTTTGATCTTCCGTATAAGACATGTTATCACGATAATTAGCGATCATTTTTTCAAAATCATCATCTAATAAACGACTAGGAACGAAAAAAGCTCAAGCTTCAAAAATTTCGTCATCCATTACTGGTCTAATCATAGGACTAGCAAATCTAACAACAGAGTTCATTTTTAAAGACATAGAATCACCAGGTTCAATTTCTTCACAATGAAGAGGAACCATTAACCCAGCATTAAAAGACAATTTTTTATCTTTATTACGTGGAAAAGTAGTTCTAGGAACTTTAACTATATCGTTTTTAGTAAAATAAGAGTCTTTATTTATATTATTTCTTAGTTTCATCTTTTACCTCTTTATTTTCATTAACATTAGAATTTTTTTTATCTAAATTAGATTTAAGAGAAGCAAGTTCTAAATCTCTTTGTTTTTTAATAGCAGCATTTAATTGAGCATACAAATCATCCAAAGTCTTACCTTGAGCAGCTAAACGATTTTGAAGCTCTTTAATTTGTTCTACATTTTGGACATTAGAATAATCAATAGGAGCAGCATTAGGATCGAAAGCAACAGACAATCCACTAATATCACCATTAGGAGCTAAACTTAAAATTCTTTCTAAATTATTTTGATCTTTAAACATTTGAATATCATTAAATAAATTATGATAAACAACATTACCGTCTTTATCAGTCTTAAACTTTAAAAGCATAGTCGCTTTATCTAGTTCAAGTTGAGGAACAGCTTTACCATTACCACAATTACATTTAAATTCATTAAAGTCATTACTTTTTCAAGTTCTTATCTTCATTAGCAAAAAAACCTCTAAAGTCTTCAATTAAATTAATTTTTAAAGAATCCATATCCAATTCATACAAACTAGAATCTTTTCAAAATTCTTCAGAATAAAAATCATTTTTTTCTCTCATAGATCTTAATTCCAAAGCTAAATTTCTTAAAGCAACATCTTTATTTGTAGAAAACATAGGATGAAATTCACCATTTGATTTTTTATCTTTTAGAAAATATAATTTCATAACTATAACCTAATTCCTCCACGTCTATTAACTCTTCCAGTATTTATAGTTTTAGTTTTATTAGCAGTTTTAATAAAATAACCACGTTTTAAAGCTCTATTCTTTCTTCGAGTCATTTGTTTCACCTCATTTAGATTTTAATTTATTAACTTTATTATTTAATTTTTCAATTTTTTTCATATCTTTAGTAATTTTAGAATTACGTGTCTTAGGACTATCTTTATCATGTTTATTCTTAAAATAAATAATAGCATAAACTATATTAGCAATACCATAAAGAATAATACACATAACAGATAATCAATTTTGTTTAAATCAATCCATTACTTACCTCATAATTCTTTCAATTTTAAAATATACGATAAAAGATACCTATAGGCTACAGAATTAGTTTCTTCCAATAGACTAAAATCAATTAACTCAAAATTTCTTACAATAGAGTAAGAAAGCATATAAGCAATTTTATGAATCAATTTATATTTATCTCTCATCAAACATATTATATATATTTATATATATATTACACAAGAATTATAACTATAGCACAGAATAATAGTCTAGTAAAAAACAAATTCTTTTCTAAGTTAATTTAAATTAACTCTTTATTTCTTTGTTTCTTTCTTTCTTTCTCATTAAAACTTTATTAGATTTCTTTTCTTAAAAAGAAAAAAAACTACTAATTCCAAGCAGGTAGAATTAGTAGAAAGACACACGATAAGAGATAAAAACTAAACTCTTACCGCACCTAAATTATATCACGACTTTTACAAAAATCATAATAAGCATCATTTAACAATTTACGATCTTTAGCATTAAGTTTCTGAGCTTCAGATAAAACACCCAATCTAATACGATTAATATAATCAATCTTATTTAAATTATTTTTATATCTAACCTCAACAGTCTGAAGATGATCATTAATACTTTTTAATCTATGAACCATCCAAGAATTATAAACTTTATCACCAACAATAGAACGATAAATCTTAGTAAAATATCTAGGAATAGCTACTTTAACAATTCGATCATTTTTAGGTAAAGTTATATAACCATTAGAAATAATATCTTCCATATGATCTAAAAAATACTGTTTTCCAAATCCATTAGACATACGAATAAAACAATCACTAACATTTTTCTTAATAGCATATCTAGCAACATAATTACAAGATTGTAAAGATACTAAACCAATACTAATTAATCCATTACCTCATAACTTTTCTAAAGTTTTAGAGGTATATAAATTATCACGTAAATAACATAAATCATCAATCGGTAAATTATAAACAATCATGTGATAATGTGGCCTTAATGTTCTAGATCCATATTCACCACAATAAAAAAACTTAATTTTATAATCAGAATAACGTTTTCTAAAACGTTTAATAAACTTAGAAACATCATTAGGTTTCAAAACACCAGGACAATGTTTATCATCATAAGTTAAAGTTATAAATCAAGATCTATTTTGTTCTTCAATAGGTCTAGAATAAAATTCACACATACATCTAGCAGCTCACTCTTTAGCATGAGAAATACGACACTCTTCACACTTACCACATGGAACTGAAATATATTCAGCAAAATTAGGAAAAATAGACAAATTAGTCTGCGGAACTTTAATTTGAACAGGTTTTAAACACATAACACCCCCAAAAAACGTTTTTTTGGTGTCTTTTGGCGTATTATAAATCAAGTACGACTAATACGCCAAAAGTCAGCGCAAAGTCGCTTAAAATTGAAATAAACGATATTTAAACAAGCATTTCAATAATCTTTAAAATACCAGCAATACCAGCAATCGTTTTAACAGCAGATCCAGAATTACCAGACATATAACTAGTTCTACCACTAGATTCAGAAGCATTTGTTCCACTATGAGCAGCAGAACCGCTAGGAGTAGAAGCACCACTAGAAACAGAAGAAACTGCTAAAAGAGGATTAACACCAGCAGCCTCTAAATCAGCCATACGTCTTTGAATAGCAGTATTAGACATCATCAATTCTCAATCTCTTTGTTTTTGAGATTCAGAAGCATTATATTCTTGATTAGCTAAAAATTGATATAAAGCCATTTCACGATCATATTTATCTAAATATCTTTGATATTGTTCTCTTTCTAAATTGGACATAGATTTAAAATATCCACCAGATATAAAATTTAATAACCAATTATCACCTAAAGCAGCATATACATCACCCTCTTGACCACGTTCATAATCGAAAGTAGGTGATGTAGCACTAGTAGGAATAGAAGAACCAGTATCACTAACACCAGACTTTAAATTTTCAGCATTAGCAGGAATTTCATTAATATCAGCCATACTAAATAATTAACTTACCACTATGATCAACTAAACCAGGAACAGAGTGAAGTGGTATAGGTCTAGTAGCTTTATTTTCAAAATAAATATCAGCTATAAAATGATGTTGATTAGGAAGAGCTAAAGAACGTTCCAACATAGAATTATCTTCTCTAATTCAATCAGGAGATAAAGTAGGAGCAGAATCATAAGACTCAGCATAAGATCAAACAGATAAAGAATCTTTAATACCAGCTCTCATATATCCACAAGCTTCGTTAGTAGTATATCTTAATTCATAACCATACTCGTTATATCCAAAAACATCTCTATCAGAACTAGAACCATTTCAAGATATTTCTTGATTTAATACAGGTTGCTCACCTAAATTAGCAAAAACAGGATTATAGAATTGTAATCTAGATAACTTAGATCACATTTTATCAATCTTTTGACTAAATGTATGAGATTTAACACGACAACCACCAACAATAAATAAATATCCATGTTCAGTAAAAGATTTTGTAAATAAATGTCTAGCGTTAGCAGTTAAAGAATAAGCAGAGACATTAGATTGAGCAGAATCTTGAGTAGTTTGTGATGTTTGAACAGTTTGATTAACAGATAAATTAAAAGATAACTTACCTAAGAATTCAGAACGTTGTAATCTAGCATCACCATTAACAACACCTCACGAACCTAAAAGATATTCATTATATCTAGAACCATATCTAGCATCTTGTTCTTTAAGTTTTTGAGTTTGAAATAAAACACGAAGATCATTAACAGATATACCAGATACACCAGATAAATCAGCATAAATAGGAGCAGGATGATCTTCTTTACCGTCATTATACCAATGATCTCCAAAAGTATAATATCTATTAATTTGATTACCCTCTCCAACAGTAGTTCCAGCATCTCACTCATGTGCTAAATAAGAACTAGTTGCACCATTAACATGTGTAAATGAACCAACAGAAGTATCACGAGGAAGAAAAATAGCCTCTTTAACTGAATTAGTAGCACCAGAAAACATAGCTTCTTTAGTATATGGAACAGCATCCTCGTTTTTACCACCAACACGATTAATAAAAACAGATTTATCAGGTAAATCACCATAAATCTTAGCTTGACCACCTAAATTCAAAGTCACAGGCTCACCACGTTGAGGAGCAGGAAGACAACTGGAAAATAAATCATGACGCTTATTTAATGGAGGTAAAGCACCACCAAGAACTAAATCAGTTTCATAATTACCTAACTTATTAACATTAACAACATCTAAATGACCAGGATGTTCAACAAAAATAGGACTTTGTAAATTTTCATCTCTAAATCACTCATCTCAAATCTTAGCTAAACCTCTAAACGGTAATAAACTAATAGCAGTATCAGACAATTCAGCAGAATCACCTAATCCAGCAGGTAATCCAAGATAATCACCAGCAGAACCAATAGCAAAACCAGATTTTAAAAGTCTCATTTGAGACAAAGTAAGCTTTTGATCTTCCGTATAAGACATGTTATCACGATAATTAGCGATCATTTTTTCAAAATCATCATCTAATAAACGACTAGGAACGAAAAAAGCTCAAGCTTCAAAAATTTCGTCATCCATTACTGGTCTAATCATAGGACTAGCAAATCTAACAACAGAGTTCATTTTTAAAGACATAGAATCACCAGGTTCAATTTCTTCACAATGAAGAGGAACCATTAACCCAGCATTAAAAGACAATTTTTTATCTTTATTACGTGGAAAAGTAGTTCTAGGAACTTTAACTATATCGTTTTTAGTAAAATAAGAGTCTTTATTTATATTATTTCTTAGTTTCATCTTTTACCTCTTTATTTTCATTAACATTAGAATTTTTTTTATCTAAATTAGATTTAAGAGAAGCAAGTTCTAAATCTCTTTGTTTTTTAATAGCAGCATTTAATTGAGCATACAAATCATCCAAAGTCTTACCTTGAGCAGCTAAACGATTTTGAAGCTCTTTAATTTGTTCTACATTTTGGACATTAGAATAATCAATAGGAGCAGCATTAGGATCGAAAGCAACAGACAATCCACTAATATCACCATTAGGAGCTAAACTTAAAATTCTTTCTAAATTATTTTGATCTTTAAACATTTGAATATCATTAAATAAATTATGATAAACAACATTACCGTCTTTATCAGTCTTAAACTTTAAAAGCATAGTCGCTTTATCTAGTTCAAGTTGAGGAACAGCTTTACCATTACCACAATTACATTTAAATTCATTAAAGTCATTACTTTTTCAAGTTCTTATCTTCATTAGCAAAAAAACCTCTAAAGTCTTCAATTAAATTAATTTTTAAAGAATCCATATCCAATTCATACAAACTAGAATCTTTTCAAAATTCTTCAGAATAAAAATCATTTTTTTCTCTCATAGATCTTAATTCCAAAGCTAAATTTCTTAAAGCAACATCTTTATTTGTAGAAAACATAGGATGAAATTCACCATTTGATTTTTTATCTTTTAGAAAATATAATTTCATAACTATAACCTAATTCCTCCACGTCTATTAACTCTTCCAGTATTTATAGTTTTAGTTTTATTAGCAGTTTTAATAAAATAACCACGTTTTAAAGCTCTATTCTTTCTTCGAGTCATTTGTTTCACCTCATTTAGATTTTAATTTATTAACTTTATTATTTAATTTTTCAATTTTTTTCATATCTTTAGTAATTTTAGAATTACGTGTCTTAGGACTATCTTTATCATGTTTATTCTTAAAATAAATAATAGCATAAACTATATTAGCAATACCATAAAGAATAATACACATAACAGATAATCAATTTTGTTTAAATCAATCCATTACTTACCTCATAATTCTTTCAATTTTAAAATATACGATAAAAGATACCTATAGGCTACAGAATTAGTTTCTTCCAATAGACTAAAATCAATTAACTCAAAATTTCTTACAATAGAGTAAGAAAGCATATAAGCAATTTTATGAATCAATTTATATTTATCTCTCATCAAACATATTATATATATTTATATATATATTACACAAGAATTATAACTATAGCACAGAATAATAGTCTAGTAAAAAACAAATTCTTTTCTAAGTTAATTTAAATTAACTCTTTATTTCTTTGTTTCTTTCTTTCTTTCTCATTAAAACTTTATTAGATTTCTTTTCTTAAAAAGAAAAAAAACTACTAATTCCAAGCAGGTAGAATTAGTAGAAAGACACACGATAAGAGATAAAAACTAAACTCTTACCGCACCTAAATTATATCACGACTTTTACAAAAATCATAATAAGCATCATTTAACAATTTACGATCTTTAGCATTAAGTTTCTGAGCTTCAGATAAAACACCCAATCTAATACGATTAATATAATCAATCTTATTTAAATTATTTTTATATCTAACCTCAACAGTCTGAAGATGATCATTAATACTTTTTAATCTATGAACCATCCAAGAATTATAAACTTTATCACCAACAATAGAACGATAAATCTTAGTAAAATATCTAGGAATAGCTACTTTAACAATTCGATCATTTTTAGGTAAAGTTATATAACCATTAGAAATAATATCTTCCATATGATCTAAAAAATACTGTTTTCCAAATCCATTAGACATACGAATAAAACAATCACTAACATTTTTCTTAATAGCATATCTAGCAACATAATTACAAGATTGTAAAGATACTAAACCAATACTAATTAATCCATTACCTCATAACTTTTCTAAAGTTTTAGAGGTATATAAATTATCACGTAAATAACATAAATCATCAATCGGTAAATTATAAACAATCATGTGATAATGTGGCCTTAATGTTCTAGATCCATATTCACCACAATAAAAAAACTTAATTTTATAATCAGAATAACGTTTTCTAAAACGTTTAATAAACTTAGAAACATCATTAGGTTTCAAAACACCAGGACAATGTTTATCATCATAAGTTAAAGTTATAAATCAAGATCTATTTTGTTCTTCAATAGGTCTAGAATAAAATTCACACATACATCTAGCAGCTCACTCTTTAGCATGAGAAATACGACACTCTTCACACTTACCACATGGAACTGAAATATATTCAGCAAAATTAGGAAAAATAGACAAATTAGTCTGCGGAACTTTAATTTGAACAGGTTTTAAACACATAACACCCCCAAAAAACGTTTTTTTGGTGTCTTTTGGCGTATTATAAATCAAGTACGACTAATACGCCAAAAGTCAGCGCAAAGTCGCTTAAAATTGAAATAAACGATATTTAAACAAGCATTTCAATAATCTTTAAAATACCAGCAATACCAGCAATCGTTTTAACAGCAGATCCAGAATTACCAGACATATAACTAGTTCTACCACTAGATTCAGAAGCATTTGTTCCACTATGAGCAGCAGAACCGCTAGGAGTAGAAGCACCACTAGAAACAGAAGAAACTGCTAAAAGAGGATTAACACCAGCAGCCTCTAAATCAGCCATACGTCTTTGAATAGCAGTATTAGACATCATCAATTCTCAATCTCTTTGTTTTTGAGATTCAGAAGCATTATATTCTTGATTAGCTAAAAATTGATATAAAGCCATTTCACGATCATATTTATCTAAATATCTTTGATATTGTTCTCTTTCTAAATTGGACATAGATTTAAAATATCCACCAGATATAAAATTTAATAACCAATTATCACCTAAAGCAGCATATACATCACCCTCTTGACCACGTTCATAATCGAAAGTAGGTGATGTAGCACTAGTAGGAATAGAAGAACCAGTATCACTAACACCAGACTTTAAATTTTCAGCATTAGCAGGAATTTCATTAATATCAGCCATACTAAATAATTAACTTACCACTATGATCAACTAAACCAGGAACAGAGTGAAGTGGTATAGGTCTAGTAGCTTTATTTTCAAAATAAATATCAGCTATAAAATGATGTTGATTAGGAAGAGCTAAAGAACGTTCCAACATAGAATTATCTTCTCTAATTCAATCAGGAGATAAAGTAGGAGCAGAATCATAAGACTCAGCATAAGATCAAACAGATAAAGAATCTTTAATACCAGCTCTCATATATCCACAAGCTTCGTTAGTAGTATATCTTAATTCATAACCATACTCGTTATATCCAAAAACATCTCTATCAGAACTAGAACCATTTCAAGATATTTCTTGATTTAATACAGGTTGCTCACCTAAATTAGCAAAAACAGGATTATAGAATTGTAATCTAGATAACTTAGATCACATTTTATCAATCTTTTGACTAAATGTATGAGATTTAACACGACAACCACCAACAATAAATAAATATCCATGTTCAGTAAAAGATTTTGTAAATAAATGTCTAGCGTTAGCAGTTAAAGAATAAGCAGAGACATTAGATTGAGCAGAATCTTGAGTAGTTTGTGATGTTTGAACAGTTTGATTAACAGATAAATTAAAAGATAACTTACCTAAGAATTCAGAACGTTGTAATCTAGCATCACCATTAACAACACCTCACGAACCTAAAAGATATTCATTATATCTAGAACCATATCTAGCATCTTGTTCTTTAAGTTTTTGAGTTTGAAATAAAACACGAAGATCATTAACAGATATACCAGATACACCAGATAAATCAGCATAAATAGGAGCAGGATGATCTTCTTTACCGTCATTATACCAATGATCTCCAAAAGTATAATATCTATTAATTTGATTACCCTCTCCAACAGTAGTTCCAGCATCTCACTCATGTGCTAAATAAGAACTAGTTGCACCATTAACATGTGTAAATGAACCAACAGAAGTATCACGAGGAAGAAAAATAGCCTCTTTAACTGAATTAGTAGCACCAGAAAACATAGCTTCTTTAGTATATGGAACAGCATCCTCGTTTTTACCACCAACACGATTAATAAAAACAGATTTATCAGGTAAATCACCATAAATCTTAGCTTGACCACCTAAATTCAAAGTCACAGGCTCACCACGTTGAGGAGCAGGAAGACAACTGGAAAATAAATCATGACGCTTATTTAATGGAGGTAAAGCACCACCAAGAACTAAATCAGTTTCATAATTACCTAACTTATTAACATTAACAACATCTAAATGACCAGGATGTTCAACAAAAATAGGACTTTGTAAATTTTCATCTCTAAATCACTCATCTCAAATCTTAGCTAAACCTCTAAACGGTAATAAACTAATAGCAGTATCAGACAATTCAGCAGAATCACCTAATCCAGCAGGTAATCCAAGATAATCACCAGCAGAACCAATAGCAAAACCAGATTTTAAAAGTCTCATTTGAGACAAAGTAAGCTTTTGATCTTCCGTATAAGACATGTTATCACGATAATTAGCGATCATTTTTTCAAAATCATCATCTAATAAACGACTAGGAACGAAAAAAGCTCAAGCTTCAAAAATTTCGTCATCCATTACTGGTCTAATCATAGGACTAGCAAATCTAACAACAGAGTTCATTTTTAAAGACATAGAATCACCAGGTTCAATTTCTTCACAATGAAGAGGAACCATTAACCCAGCATTAAAAGACAATTTTTTATCTTTATTACGTGGAAAAGTAGTTCTAGGAACTTTAACTATATCGTTTTTAGTAAAATAAGAGTCTTTATTTATATTATTTCTTAGTTTCATCTTTTACCTCTTTATTTTCATTAACATTAGAATTTTTTTTATCTAAATTAGATTTAAGAGAAGCAAGTTCTAAATCTCTTTGTTTTTTAATAGCAGCATTTAATTGAGCATACAAATCATCCAAAGTCTTACCTTGAGCAGCTAAACGATTTTGAAGCTCTTTAATTTGTTCTACATTTTGGACATTAGAATAATCAATAGGAGCAGCATTAGGATCGAAAGCAACAGACAATCCACTAATATCACCATTAGGAGCTAAACTTAAAATTCTTTCTAAATTATTTTGATCTTTAAACATTTGAATATCATTAAATAAATTATGATAAACAACATTACCGTCTTTATCAGTCTTAAACTTTAAAAGCATAGTCGCTTTATCTAGTTCAAGTTGAGGAACAGCTTTACCATTACCACAATTACATTTAAATTCATTAAAGTCATTACTTTTTCAAGTTCTTATCTTCATTAGCAAAAAAACCTCTAAAGTCTTCAATTAAATTAATTTTTAAAGAATCCATATCCAATTCATACAAACTAGAATCTTTTCAAAATTCTTCAGAATAAAAATCATTTTTTTCTCTCATAGATCTTAATTCCAAAGCTAAATTTCTTAAAGCAACATCTTTATTTGTAGAAAACATAGGATGAAATTCACCATTTGATTTTTTATCTTTTAGAAAATATAATTTCATAACTATAACCTAATTCCTCCACGTCTATTAACTCTTCCAGTATTTATAGTTTTAGTTTTATTAGCAGTTTTAATAAAATAACCACGTTTTAAAGCTCTATTCTTTCTTCGAGTCATTTGTTTCACCTCATTTAGATTTTAATTTATTAACTTTATTATTTAATTTTTCAATTTTTTTCATATCTTTAGTAATTTTAGAATTACGTGTCTTAGGACTATCTTTATCATGTTTATTCTTAAAATAAATAATAGCATAAACTATATTAGCAATACCATAAAGAATAATACACATAACAGATAATCAATTTTGTTTAAATCAATCCATTACTTACCTCATAATTCTTTCAATTTTAAAATATACGATAAAAGATACCTATAGGCTACAGAATTAGTTTCTTCCAATAGACTAAAATCAATTAACTCAAAATTTCTTACAATAGAGTAAGAAAGCATATAAGCAATTTTATGAATCAATTTATATTTATCTCTCATCAAACATATTATATATATTTATATATATATTACACAAGAATTATAACTATAGCACAGAATAATAGTCTAGTAAAAAACAAATTCTTTTCTAAGTTAATTTAAATTAACTCTTTATTTCTTTGTTTCTTTCTTTCTTTCTCATTAAAACTTTATTAGATTTCTTTTCTTAAAAAGAAAAAAAACTACTAATTCCAAGCAGGTAGAATTAGTAGAAAGACACACGATAAGAGATAAAAACTAAACTCTTACCGCACCTAAATTATATCACGACTTTTACAAAAATCATAATAAGCATCATTTAACAATTTACGATCTTTAGCATTAAGTTTCTGAGCTTCAGATAAAACACCCAATCTAATACGATTAATATAATCAATCTTATTTAAATTATTTTTATATCTAACCTCAACAGTCTGAAGATGATCATTAATACTTTTTAATCTATGAACCATCCAAGAATTATAAACTTTATCACCAACAATAGAACGATAAATCTTAGTAAAATATCTAGGAATAGCTACTTTAACAATTCGATCATTTTTAGGTAAAGTTATATAACCATTAGAAATAATATCTTCCATATGATCTAAAAAATACTGTTTTCCAAATCCATTAGACATACGAATAAAACAATCACTAACATTTTTCTTAATAGCATATCTAGCAACATAATTACAAGATTGTAAAGATACTAAACCAATACTAATTAATCCATTACCTCATAACTTTTCTAAAGTTTTAGAGGTATATAAATTATCACGTAAATAACATAAATCATCAATCGGTAAATTATAAACAATCATGTGATAATGTGGCCTTAATGTTCTAGATCCATATTCACCACAATAAAAAAACTTAATTTTATAATCAGAATAACGTTTTCTAAAACGTTTAATAAACTTAGAAACATCATTAGGTTTCAAAACACCAGGACAATGTTTATCATCATAAGTTAAAGTTATAAATCAAGATCTATTTTGTTCTTCAATAGGTCTAGAATAAAATTCACACATACATCTAGCAGCTCACTCTTTAGCATGAGAAATACGACACTCTTCACACTTACCACATGGAACTGAAATATATTCAGCAAAATTAGGAAAAATAGACAAATTAGTCTGCGGAACTTTAATTTGAACAGGTTTTAAACACATAACACCCCCAAAAAACGTTTTTTTGGTGTCTTTTGGCGTATTATAAATCAAGTACGACTAATACGCCAAAAGTCAGCGCAAAGTCGCTTAAAATTGAAATAAACGATATTTAAACAAGCATTTCAATAATCTTTAAAATACCAGCAATACCAGCAATCGTTTTAACAGCAGATCCAGAATTACCAGACATATAACTAGTTCTACCACTAGATTCAGAAGCATTTGTTCCACTATGAGCAGCAGAACCGCTAGGAGTAGAAGCACCACTAGAAACAGAAGAAACTGCTAAAAGAGGATTAACACCAGCAGCCTCTAAATCAGCCATACGTCTTTGAATAGCAGTATTAGACATCATCAATTCTCAATCTCTTTGTTTTTGAGATTCAGAAGCATTATATTCTTGATTAGCTAAAAATTGATATAAAGCCATTTCACGATCATATTTATCTAAATATCTTTGATATTGTTCTCTTTCTAAATTGGACATAGATTTAAAATATCCACCAGATATAAAATTTAATAACCAATTATCACCTAAAGCAGCATATACATCACCCTCTTGACCACGTTCATAATCGAAAGTAGGTGATGTAGCACTAGTAGGAATAGAAGAACCAGTATCACTAACACCAGACTTTAAATTTTCAGCATTAGCAGGAATTTCATTAATATCAGCCATACTAAATAATTAACTTACCACTATGATCAACTAAACCAGGAACAGAGTGAAGTGGTATAGGTCTAGTAGCTTTATTTTCAAAATAAATATCAGCTATAAAATGATGTTGATTAGGAAGAGCTAAAGAACGTTCCAACATAGAATTATCTTCTCTAATTCAATCAGGAGATAAAGTAGGAGCAGAATCATAAGACTCAGCATAAGATCAAACAGATAAAGAATCTTTAATACCAGCTCTCATATATCCACAAGCTTCGTTAGTAGTATATCTTAATTCATAACCATACTCGTTATATCCAAAAACATCTCTATCAGAACTAGAACCATTTCAAGATATTTCTTGATTTAATACAGGTTGCTCACCTAAATTAGCAAAAACAGGATTATAGAATTGTAATCTAGATAACTTAGATCACATTTTATCAATCTTTTGACTAAATGTATGAGATTTAACACGACAACCACCAACAATAAATAAATATCCATGTTCAGTAAAAGATTTTGTAAATAAATGTCTAGCGTTAGCAGTTAAAGAATAAGCAGAGACATTAGATTGAGCAGAATCTTGAGTAGTTTGTGATGTTTGAACAGTTTGATTAACAGATAAATTAAAAGATAACTTACCTAAGAATTCAGAACGTTGTAATCTAGCATCACCATTAACAACACCTCACGAACCTAAAAGATATTCATTATATCTAGAACCATATCTAGCATCTTGTTCTTTAAGTTTTTGAGTTTGAAATAAAACACGAAGATCATTAACAGATATACCAGATACACCAGATAAATCAGCATAAATAGGAGCAGGATGATCTTCTTTACCGTCATTATACCAATGATCTCCAAAAGTATAATATCTATTAATTTGATTACCCTCTCCAACAGTAGTTCCAGCATCTCACTCATGTGCTAAATAAGAACTAGTTGCACCATTAACATGTGTAAATGAACCAACAGAAGTATCACGAGGAAGAAAAATAGCCTCTTTAACTGAATTAGTAGCACCAGAAAACATAGCTTCTTTAGTATATGGAACAGCATCCTCGTTTTTACCACCAACACGATTAATAAAAACAGATTTATCAGGTAAATCACCATAAATCTTAGCTTGACCACCTAAATTCAAAGTCACAGGCTCACCACGTTGAGGAGCAGGAAGACAACTGGAAAATAAATCATGACGCTTATTTAATGGAGGTAAAGCACCACCAAGAACTAAATCAGTTTCATAATTACCTAACTTATTAACATTAACAACATCTAAATGACCAGGATGTTCAACAAAAATAGGACTTTGTAAATTTTCATCTCTAAATCACTCATCTCAAATCTTAGCTAAACCTCTAAACGGTAATAAACTAATAGCAGTATCAGACAATTCAGCAGAATCACCTAATCCAGCAGGTAATCCAAGATAATCACCAGCAGAACCAATAGCAAAACCAGATTTTAAAAGTCTCATTTGAGACAAAGTAAGCTTTTGATCTTCCGTATAAGACATGTTATCACGATAATTAGCGATCATTTTTTCAAAATCATCATCTAATAAACGACTAGGAACGAAAAAAGCTCAAGCTTCAAAAATTTCGTCATCCATTACTGGTCTAATCATAGGACTAGCAAATCTAACAACAGAGTTCATTTTTAAAGACATAGAATCACCAGGTTCAATTTCTTCACAATGAAGAGGAACCATTAACCCAGCATTAAAAGACAATTTTTTATCTTTATTACGTGGAAAAGTAGTTCTAGGAACTTTAACTATATCGTTTTTAGTAAAATAAGAGTCTTTATTTATATTATTTCTTAGTTTCATCTTTTACCTCTTTATTTTCATTAACATTAGAATTTTTTTTATCTAAATTAGATTTAAGAGAAGCAAGTTCTAAATCTCTTTGTTTTTTAATAGCAGCATTTAATTGAGCATACAAATCATCCAAAGTCTTACCTTGAGCAGCTAAACGATTTTGAAGCTCTTTAATTTGTTCTACATTTTGGACATTAGAATAATCAATAGGAGCAGCATTAGGATCGAAAGCAACAGACAATCCACTAATATCACCATTAGGAGCTAAACTTAAAATTCTTTCTAAATTATTTTGATCTTTAAACATTTGAATATCATTAAATAAATTATGATAAACAACATTACCGTCTTTATCAGTCTTAAACTTTAAAAGCATAGTCGCTTTATCTAGTTCAAGTTGAGGAACAGCTTTACCATTACCACAATTACATTTAAATTCATTAAAGTCATTACTTTTTCAAGTTCTTATCTTCATTAGCAAAAAAACCTCTAAAGTCTTCAATTAAATTAATTTTTAAAGAATCCATATCCAATTCATACAAACTAGAATCTTTTCAAAATTCTTCAGAATAAAAATCATTTTTTTCTCTCATAGATCTTAATTCCAAAGCTAAATTTCTTAAAGCAACATCTTTATTTGTAGAAAACATAGGATGAAATTCACCATTTGATTTTTTATCTTTTAGAAAATATAATTTCATAACTATAACCTAATTCCTCCACGTCTATTAACTCTTCCAGTATTTATAGTTTTAGTTTTATTAGCAGTTTTAATAAAATAACCACGTTTTAAAGCTCTATTCTTTCTTCGAGTCATTTGTTTCACCTCATTTAGATTTTAATTTATTAACTTTATTATTTAATTTTTCAATTTTTTTCATATCTTTAGTAATTTTAGAATTACGTGTCTTAGGACTATCTTTATCATGTTTATTCTTAAAATAAATAATAGCATAAACTATATTAGCAATACCATAAAGAATAATACACATAACAGATAATCAATTTTGTTTAAATCAATCCATTACTTACCTCATAATTCTTTCAATTTTAAAATATACGATAAAAGATACCTATAGGCTACAGAATTAGTTTCTTCCAATAGACTAAAATCAATTAACTCAAAATTTCTTACAATAGAGTAAGAAAGCATATAAGCAATTTTATGAATCAATTTATATTTATCTCTCATCAAACATATTATATATATTTATATATATATTACACAAGAATTATAACTATAGCACAGAATAATAGTCTAGTAAAAAACAAATTCTTTTCTAAGTTAATTTAAATTAACTCTTTATTTCTTTGTTTCTTTCTTTCTTTCTCATTAAAACTTTATTAGATTTCTTTTCTTAAAAAGAAAAAAAACTACTAATTCCAAGCAGGTAGAATTAGTAGAAAGACACACGATAAGAGATAAAAACTAAACTCTTACCGCACCTAAATTATATCACGACTTTTACAAAAATCATAATAAGCATCATTTAACAATTTACGATCTTTAGCATTAAGTTTCTGAGCTTCAGATAAAACACCCAATCTAATACGATTAATATAATCAATCTTATTTAAATTATTTTTATATCTAACCTCAACAGTCTGAAGATGATCATTAATACTTTTTAATCTATGAACCATCCAAGAATTATAAACTTTATCACCAACAATAGAACGATAAATCTTAGTAAAATATCTAGGAATAGCTACTTTAACAATTCGATCATTTTTAGGTAAAGTTATATAACCATTAGAAATAATATCTTCCATATGATCTAAAAAATACTGTTTTCCAAATCCATTAGACATACGAATAAAACAATCACTAACATTTTTCTTAATAGCATATCTAGCAACATAATTACAAGATTGTAAAGATACTAAACCAATACTAATTAATCCATTACCTCATAACTTTTCTAAAGTTTTAGAGGTATATAAATTATCACGTAAATAACATAAATCATCAATCGGTAAATTATAAACAATCATGTGATAATGTGGCCTTAATGTTCTAGATCCATATTCACCACAATAAAAAAACTTAATTTTATAATCAGAATAACGTTTTCTAAAACGTTTAATAAACTTAGAAACATCATTAGGTTTCAAAACACCAGGACAATGTTTATCATCATAAGTTAAAGTTATAAATCAAGATCTATTTTGTTCTTCAATAGGTCTAGAATAAAATTCACACATACATCTAGCAGCTCACTCTTTAGCATGAGAAATACGACACTCTTCACACTTACCACATGGAACTGAAATATATTCAGCAAAATTAGGAAAAATAGACAAATTAGTCTGCGGAACTTTAATTTGAACAGGTTTTAAACACATAACACCCCCAAAAAACGTTTTTTTGGTGTCTTTTGGCGTATTATAAATCAAGTACGACTAATACGCCAAAAGTCAGCGCAAAGTCGCTTAAAATTGAAATAAACGATATTTAAACAAGCATTTCAATAATCTTTAAAATACCAGCAATACCAGCAATCGTTTTAACAGCAGATCCAGAATTACCAGACATATAACTAGTTCTACCACTAGATTCAGAAGCATTTGTTCCACTATGAGCAGCAGAACCGCTAGGAGTAGAAGCACCACTAGAAACAGAAGAAACTGCTAAAAGAGGATTAACACCAGCAGCCTCTAAATCAGCCATACGTCTTTGAATAGCAGTATTAGACATCATCAATTCTCAATCTCTTTGTTTTTGAGATTCAGAAGCATTATATTCTTGATTAGCTAAAAATTGATATAAAGCCATTTCACGATCATATTTATCTAAATATCTTTGATATTGTTCTCTTTCTAAATTGGACATAGATTTAAAATATCCACCAGATATAAAATTTAATAACCAATTATCACCTAAAGCAGCATATACATCACCCTCTTGACCACGTTCATAATCGAAAGTAGGTGATGTAGCACTAGTAGGAATAGAAGAACCAGTATCACTAACACCAGACTTTAAATTTTCAGCATTAGCAGGAATTTCATTAATATCAGCCATACTAAATAATTAACTTACCACTATGATCAACTAAACCAGGAACAGAGTGAAGTGGTATAGGTCTAGTAGCTTTATTTTCAAAATAAATATCAGCTATAAAATGATGTTGATTAGGAAGAGCTAAAGAACGTTCCAACATAGAATTATCTTCTCTAATTCAATCAGGAGATAAAGTAGGAGCAGAATCATAAGACTCAGCATAAGATCAAACAGATAAAGAATCTTTAATACCAGCTCTCATATATCCACAAGCTTCGTTAGTAGTATATCTTAATTCATAACCATACTCGTTATATCCAAAAACATCTCTATCAGAACTAGAACCATTTCAAGATATTTCTTGATTTAATACAGGTTGCTCACCTAAATTAGCAAAAACAGGATTATAGAATTGTAATCTAGATAACTTAGATCACATTTTATCAATCTTTTGACTAAATGTATGAGATTTAACACGACAACCACCAACAATAAATAAATATCCATGTTCAGTAAAAGATTTTGTAAATAAATGTCTAGCGTTAGCAGTTAAAGAATAAGCAGAGACATTAGATTGAGCAGAATCTTGAGTAGTTTGTGATGTTTGAACAGTTTGATTAACAGATAAATTAAAAGATAACTTACCTAAGAATTCAGAACGTTGTAATCTAGCATCACCATTAACAACACCTCACGAACCTAAAAGATATTCATTATATCTAGAACCATATCTAGCATCTTGTTCTTTAAGTTTTTGAGTTTGAAATAAAACACGAAGATCATTAACAGATATACCAGATACACCAGATAAATCAGCATAAATAGGAGCAGGATGATCTTCTTTACCGTCATTATACCAATGATCTCCAAAAGTATAATATCTATTAATTTGATTACCCTCTCCAACAGTAGTTCCAGCATCTCACTCATGTGCTAAATAAGAACTAGTTGCACCATTAACATGTGTAAATGAACCAACAGAAGTATCACGAGGAAGAAAAATAGCCTCTTTAACTGAATTAGTAGCACCAGAAAACATAGCTTCTTTAGTATATGGAACAGCATCCTCGTTTTTACCACCAACACGATTAATAAAAACAGATTTATCAGGTAAATCACCATAAATCTTAGCTTGACCACCTAAATTCAAAGTCACAGGCTCACCACGTTGAGGAGCAGGAAGACAACTGGAAAATAAATCATGACGCTTATTTAATGGAGGTAAAGCACCACCAAGAACTAAATCAGTTTCATAATTACCTAACTTATTAACATTAACAACATCTAAATGACCAGGATGTTCAACAAAAATAGGACTTTGTAAATTTTCATCTCTAAATCACTCATCTCAAATCTTAGCTAAACCTCTAAACGGTAATAAACTAATAGCAGTATCAGACAATTCAGCAGAATCACCTAATCCAGCAGGTAATCCAAGATAATCACCAGCAGAACCAATAGCAAAACCAGATTTTAAAAGTCTCATTTGAGACAAAGTAAGCTTTTGATCTTCCGTATAAGACATGTTATCACGATAATTAGCGATCATTTTTTCAAAATCATCATCTAATAAACGACTAGGAACGAAAAAAGCTCAAGCTTCAAAAATTTCGTCATCCATTACTGGTCTAATCATAGGACTAGCAAATCTAACAACAGAGTTCATTTTTAAAGACATAGAATCACCAGGTTCAATTTCTTCACAATGAAGAGGAACCATTAACCCAGCATTAAAAGACAATTTTTTATCTTTATTACGTGGAAAAGTAGTTCTAGGAACTTTAACTATATCGTTTTTAGTAAAATAAGAGTCTTTATTTATATTATTTCTTAGTTTCATCTTTTACCTCTTTATTTTCATTAACATTAGAATTTTTTTTATCTAAATTAGATTTAAGAGAAGCAAGTTCTAAATCTCTTTGTTTTTTAATAGCAGCATTTAATTGAGCATACAAATCATCCAAAGTCTTACCTTGAGCAGCTAAACGATTTTGAAGCTCTTTAATTTGTTCTACATTTTGGACATTAGAATAATCAATAGGAGCAGCATTAGGATCGAAAGCAACAGACAATCCACTAATATCACCATTAGGAGCTAAACTTAAAATTCTTTCTAAATTATTTTGATCTTTAAACATTTGAATATCATTAAATAAATTATGATAAACAACATTACCGTCTTTATCAGTCTTAAACTTTAAAAAGC